TTAGGGAGATGGAAAACTAAAACCCCTATTTTTATTCAAATCAAATGGACCAAAAATCAATAAAAACTTGAGGAGTCCAACATGGATATGATATAGACATAGATATCATATGGAAAGAAAATATTAAAAAAGATAAGAACTGCTTACATTTATGAAAAACCACAAGTCTAACTCATGAAGGTAAGGTACTAATAATTAAATTACAAATTTTATCTATGATAAGCTTTGTAATTGAAGCAAGGGGTATTCCAGAAAAGTACAAGAGTGAAATAAATTAAATTATATGGAATCTTATTTGGGATGGACAAATTAATCTTGTAAATAGGAAGACCTGCTATAATGCAACAGCAAAATGGTGGAATGTTCAAAGTTAATAATGTAAAACATTGTACAGAATATTACACTCCAACTTAAAAAGTTGGAATGTATTTGGGAAATTCTTCCTGCAGAAATTTGATAGAAGATTTTGTAATAAATAGTATATTTGTTTATGTTCCTATCTAGAAGGCATTAAGTTGAATAGCATTCCAAAATTGTATCCGCGATGTATTAAAAGCTTGGTCAATTACAAGAGCGAGAATACCAGTCAATATTAAAAATGAAGTCTTAAACCAGAAATTATTCAGAAATTTACTTTTTAAAGTTAGCTCTAAGTCCCTGCTCTACACACATCATGTCTGCAAAGTAATTTAACAACATTAAAAGATATTTGGAATGAAACAGATATTTACAAAAACTGACAGGAAAACACAAATGGATATCTGAATTTACCACAATCAAGAAATCAATCTCACAAAAATGTCAAAGGGTATCGATCCGGTAGTAAGTCGGACCCGTGGAGATATCACTACTGGTCTTAGTAGTGTTCTATAGTGGCAATGCAGAGCATATGTAAATATATTAATTTAAATCAAATCCTATGCTGTATGTAACACAATATCGTACAATCATTACCAACCAGTTTTGAAAGGAATACATTTCCATTACTGCTGCCTGCGTCATGCCGTTACCTGCTTTCTTACAAAACACACATCTTGATTTTGATCTTCCTGCACCTTTAAATGGCAAAATTCCACATGATTTTCGAATAGCATGTTTTACACGTGTATTGCGCTCCTTAATTTGCGCTGCAGTCATCCTGCATTTCAAACAAATGAGTCTGTCTTCGACGATGAATTTCCCCGCATTTTCTGTAATATATTTGCAATAATAACAGTTCTTTGTTTGACTTGGTCTTCTTTTTTATTCTGACGCAACAAATACACATATTTCGTATTTCGGCATCATTTGTTTGTGTTTTAATAATAAATAGAATTTCTTGTACCAACTGGAAGGTAAAACAATTCATAAATATCATTTAAAATGAATCAATAGGTATGTTAATGAAAAATAAATAAAAGGTTCTATTGCTTAAAAAATATGCTATAACTTAATCAAGGAAAAAGATCGTGGATTCGAACTTGCACCGTTCTCTTCGTCTGGTCACAAGTTGACTGCGTTACACAATATGGAAATACAAACTGTTTTAAACAAATTATCACCCCTGTTTTTCACAAATATATATTCCAATAATGTATGTATATATGTCATAACAGGTTATTGTTTGTTGCCTTTATTTTATATTTGCATATTTTGCAAAGTTTTTTTACTTTAGGATATTCATGAATCAATTTAAGTATATGATTATAATATTTCTAATGGAGAAGCAGAGATAAAAAACACAATCGATAAGAAGTAAAATAATAATAAATGCATAAACTGATATGAACAAGAGACCTAGGGGCCTAACAGCAACGAGTTTTAAAACAGTTCAAATGTTCTTCGTCACTGCCAGACAACGTATATTGTGGAGTACAGTTAATGAAACGGCTAATGTATCTACTATTAATTATCCATAAATTAAAGTGCCGCGCAGTCTCATTTAAACCATACATGATTAGATATACCACGTATAGGAGGACAGGGAGGATATTGTTCCGTGGACCGCAGTACAGTGTAGCTGTGACAGCCAACTGTCCGCATCTGAGGAGCTGTCCAACTCATAGCGTGAACCTGGATAGGCAAGACTTTAGAATCTCCGAGGGCCTCGTAAGCGGCAACTTACCCCCTCACGTCGACCGAACACCAACTTCGTCAGTAAAGTGTAGACGTAAAACCCATCAACCAACCAGCGCTAGAATTATTAAAACTTCAAAATTTAAGTCAGGCTGTTTGCAAGATAAAGCTAGATGTAAACCTTAAACTTGTTTCATCTGTTCTGAATGTTGTTTTCATATTATTAAACGTTGTTAAGTAGACCTGAATTTAATTGGTGATTTTAATGAGAAAGAATTATTTAATCTATGTTTTAATGCAAATAAAATGTTAAAACTGTACATATACATATTTAATATTACCAGGGACAGTATATACAGGGGACAGTATATACAGGGACAGTATATACAGGGGACAGTATATACAGGGACAGTCCATACAGGGGACAGTATTTACAGGGACAATATATACAGGGGACAGTATATACAGGGACAGTATATACAGGGGACAGTATATACAGGGGCATACATGGACAGTATATACAGGGGACAGTATAAACAGGGACAGTATATACAGGGACAGTATACACAGGGACATACAGGGACAGTATATACAGGGACATACAGGGACAGTATATACAGGGGACAGTATATACAGGGACAGTATATACAGGGGACAGTATATACAGGGACAGTATATACAGGGGACAGTATATACAGGGACAGTATATACAGGGGACAGTATATACAGGGACAGTATATACAGGGGACAGTATATACAGGGACAGTATATACAGGGGACAGTATATACAGGGACAGTATATACAGGGGACAGTATATACAGGGACAGTATATACAGGGGACAGTATATACAGGGACAGTATATACAGGGGACAGTATATACAGGGACAGTATATACAGGGGACAGTATATACAGGGACAGTATATACAGGGGACAGTATATACAGGGACAGTATATACAGGGGACAGTATATACAGGGACAGTATATACAGGGGACAGTATATACAGGGACAGTATATACAGGGGACAGTATATACAGGGGACAGTATAAACAGGGACAGTATATACAGGGACAGTATATACAGGGGACAGTATATACAGGGGACAGTAAATACAGGGACATACAGGGACAGTATATACAGGGACATACAGGGACAATATATACAGGGGACAGTATATACAGGGGACAGTATATACAGGGACAGTATATACAGGGGACAGTATATACAGGGACAGTAGATACAGGGACAGTATATACAGGGTACAGTATATACAGGGACAGTATATACAGGGACAGTCCATACAGGGGACAGTATATACAGGGACAGTATATACAGGGACATTATATACAGGGACATACAGGGACAGTATATACAGGACAGTATATACAGGGACATACAGGGACAGTCCATACAGGGGACAGTATATACAGGGACATACAGGGACAGTATATACAAGGACATACAGGGACAGTATATACAGGGGACAGTATATACAGGGGACAGTATAAACAGGGACAGTATATACAGGGACAGTATAAACAGGGGACAGTATATACAGGGGACAGTATAAACAGGGACAGTATATACAGGGACAGTATATACCGGGACATACAGGGACAGTATATACAGGGACAGTCCATACAGGGGACAGTATATACAGGGACATACAGAGACAGTATATACAGGGACATACATGGACAGTATATACAGGGACAGTATATACAGGGGACAGTATATACAGGGACAGTATATACAGGGACATACAGGGACAGTATATACAGGGACAGTCCATACAGGGGACAGTATATACAGGGACATACAGGGACAGTATATACAGGGACATACAGGGACAGTATATACATGGACAGTATATACAGGGGACAGTATATACAGGGACAGTATATACAGGGACATACAGGGACAGTATATGCAGGGACAGTATATACAGGGGACAGTATTTACAGGGGACAGTATATACAGGGACAGTATACACAGGGACATACAGGGACAGTATATACAGGGACATACAGGGACAGTATATACAGGACAGTATATACAGGGACAGTCCATTATACGTCCCTGATATTACCAGGGACAGTATATACATGCACAGTCCATTATACGTCCCTGATATTACCAGGGACAGTATATACAGGCACAGTCCATTATACGTCCCTGATATTATCAGGGACAGTATATACAGGGACAGTCCATTATACGTCCCTGATATTATCAGGGACAGTATATACAGGGACAGTCCATTATACGTCCCTGATATTACCTATTCCCCAATTCCAACACAGCCAATCTCCTCCACCTCCCAAAAAAACCATAGAAGGACGGAAAATAACAGAAGCAAGAGGTCCAAGGGATGTGAGAAACGTTCCAGTGCCGCTTCCTTTTATCGTGATCCAAACGGTCTGACCGGTTCGACCAGAGTTGTTCGTTTATGAAATAATCGGACCTAGTAATATGATGCTGCTTTCATGTGAGCCTTGACAAAGCATTTTAAGGCCTGCATAAACGTTTGCAGGTCCGCTAGGAATTATACCCAAAAATATCACATTAAAAAACAGACAATCCGGGTGTTCTGCATAAACGAATAGGTACCTGGTATTTCATTCTTAATTTAAGACCAGCTTAATACCATGCCTGTTAGTCAAAAGTATATAAGGGATGTAAGCTGTCATAAGTAGACTACCCTTTGTAGGGGCTACACACCAAGGTCACGATTGTGTTCGTAATGGTCAGAAATCACCGAAAGGGTTCTTTTTAAAACAGTGTTCAACCAGGGACTCTATATACTGTCCCTGGTTCAACAACACGTAAAGCTAACAATGCCTGTTGACATTAATCCCTTGGCCAGTGAGCTGTTTTTGTTGGACTCATGAGGAAGGCTACGTACACTGACGGTCACGGTCCAACAGACATTATCGACGTATTGTGAACCGTGTATACTGGTGTACCCCGTGTTAGTATCGATTTCTGACAACGGGTAACACACAGTAGTTCTATACATTACTCAGTACACACGGGTTGTCTGTCGGAATACGTCATACCTGTTCACGATGGGCTACGGACAGTACATTGGACATATACTGACCACATGGTGATGGTTAGTACAACAAAATATCGTCAAATCTAACCGACTATTATTTTGAAGTGGACACCTGGTTTTCAGATGAAGGTTGGACTGCCGGTAGTCAAATATATTCGTCGAAAGAGAAATTAGTGTCATGTCTGCACGTTTTTAGTGTATTTTACAAGTAAATCTACGCTTGGCAGCATGAAGTAGTAGTTGGAATCTGCATTGGGATACAATTATTGTAATGATTTTACATTTGCTCTTTTTACTATTATTTTTAGGACGTGTGTTTGGATTTGGTTCGCTTGCTCGCATGTTAAGACAGATCCGTGAGATATACGCCGCCCTACCCGGACCTACATAGCAGGTATGTGTTACAGTTTGTATTGTACTACTGATATTATTCGGTGATGTCGCTGGTGTCCACGATCCAGTGACCACCATGTATACTTGTGCCGCTTACCTTTATCGCGATCCAGACGGTTGTACCAGAGTTAGTTGTTTATGAAATAAGGTCGGACCGAGTTATCTGATGCTACTTTCAGACGAGGATTGACACATCGTTGCTAGGCATCCATACACATTTGCAGGTCCGCGAGGATATATACCCGAAAAAGGTACATTTCAAAACAGACAAACCGGTTGTTCCGCATAAACGAACAAGCCCCAGGTTTAGGTAAAGAACTATAAGTTACCAGTGACCCATTCGTTTATGCAGAACAACCGGTTCGTCTGCTTTGAAATGTAACATTTTCTTTGTATTAATCATAGCGGACATGCAAACGTTTATACAGACCTTGAAAGCTTTGTTTAGGGTCACCTGAAAGCAGCATCAGATTACAAGGTCCGGCCTTATTTGATAAACGAATAACTCTGGTCCAACCGGTTCGGCCGTTTGGATCGCGATAAACGAAAGCGGGCTAGTCGCCTCCACTTCATAGGAACGTTGACATGGACCTTGCTAATTATAAGTTGACAAGAACTATCATAGATATAAAATAAAAATAGATTTAATATTGGGTGGTTAAAACGTATAAATTAATTACCTCTCGATCTGTCTATAATACTCATGAACGAAATCCAAAGTCCGAAGATAAACAGCATTATATCTCCAAAGTGTATTTGATATAAATGCGTTTTTCAGCATTTATCTTTCGTCTGCTATATTGATGAAATATATCAATAAATGTCGAAAATAATTACTTCTCTGACACAAGTTACTGTTTGCAGGTCAATATAATAATCAAATTGACTTATAGAGCCATTTGGTCGGGTGCTTAAGGTTCATGAAAAAAGTGAAAAATCTCGAAATGTATGATATTTTGATGTATGCATAGGTCACTATCATGAAATATATTGTTATATGTAACACATATTGTTTTGTATATAAACAGCTTTCTATGGCTAAAATGGACAAATCTAGATTTTGTAATAAACAAACACTGACACACCGCAAATCGAGATCAGTAAAAACAAAATTGTAAGTCACTTCAAAAGGAAACGGAAACGTGAATCCCAATAGTTTGTCTTCGGCACACCCATGCAAGCTTACAAAACACGCATGGAGGCACGCACGTCCTTAAAAGACCTAAGCTGTTAATAGGACGTTAAACAAAATAAAAACCAAAACCGAAATCAAACGAACCCCATCATTATTTATAACTAGTAGATGTCTGATGTAAGACAGCCCAGGACAGAGTCAGAATTAAGTACATTATGTGATATGCAATGTTCAGTGTAAGAAAACACAAATATTGAAAACAAGGAATTGCCGAGTGTCTGTCTTTGGTTTTTTATTTCATCAACATCGATCGTTGTTGATTATTCATCAGTTGAGTGTAGCCACACAACACAGAAACGGTCATTCTACTGCCACGCAGTTTTACAAAATCAAAATTACACACGGTAATATAGTTTGTATACAAACAATGTACGTATTAAACGTGTCGCAACGTTTCAAGACCGACTGGTCCCTTTGTCAGGCTATGTCTGAGTACAATAATGGACGACTATTATTCTAAAAAATCTAGTGATATTACTGATAACAATAAATCTCACGACAAATTAGTCTAAGCCACACAAAAGTTCTTTACTCAGTAAAAAAAAGCGATGTAAGATACTGATCTGTGAACGTTTTAAATAACTAACACATTTATAAGGCGATGTTATCAACAAGGGAAAAGCCAATGTCTTCCATACACCTAAGATCAGAGATAATTGTATTTCAAAAAACCTCGCCTTCTAAATACACAGAATCTTTGTGTCTTTTAACTTTTATCAGTTTATCTTTAAAAAAAAAGATAATATTAATAACGAAGAACAATTTTATTTTTTTACTATTCGAACAAAGCCCCTTTGAAAAATGTGCATTAACAGTGTCAACACGAGACTGAAAGGAAATTCATATGTAAGATGAGGTCATTAAATTACTTATTTGTTAAGAACTGTACACACTTGCATTGCTTTGCACATATGTATGTATCCTTAAAAATACCTTCTATTGTCACTGTGTTCAAAACTGACTCTGTGCAAATAACTATATAATGGTATTGTTCTCTTTTAAGTTACAAAATATGTCCCTAGATTTTCCATCGCACAATCACCAGACTTCAGGCCATAAAATACAGTTGTCAGTTTGTGAAGGACAGACTTAAGGTCATAAAATACAATTGTCCGTTTGTGAAGGACAGACTTAATGCCATAAAGTCCAGCTGTCCGTTTGTTATGCAATCGTATACCGACATCTAAATAAGATAATTAATTTGGTCATTGTGTAACAAGGGTCACCTTTGTAACAACCCCCGCCCCTGTGTTTCTACCTACATACACGGATCATCTTTGTAACTCCNTACAAGGATCACCTTTGTAATCCCCCCTGTGTATCTACCTACATACAAGGGTCACCTTTGTAACCCCCCCCCTGTGTATCTACCTACATACAAGGGTCACCTTTNTGTAACCCCCCGCCCCTGTGTATCTACCTACATACAAGGATCACCTTTGTAATCCCCCCGTGTATCTACCTACATACAAGGATCACCTTTGTAAGTCACCCGCCCCTGTGTATCTACCTACATACAAGGGCACCTTTGTAAGTCACCCGCCCCTGTGTATCTACATACATACAAGGGCACCTTTGTAACTCCCCCCGCCCCTGTGTATCTACATACATGCAAGGATCACCTTTGTAACCCCACCCACTCCACCCCCGCCCCTGTGCATCTGTCACCATTGTAACACACACACACACACACACACACACAC